ACATTTTTCCCTCCCCACCCTTTATCTGCTTTCCGGAGGGACCACTCCCTCCGTGACTCCCTTGTCCGCTCCACACACCCCTCCAGCCCCACCACACCCAGCACTTTTCCCTGCAACCGCAGGAAGTGCTACACCTGCCCCTACACCTCCCCCAAGAAGACTTTCCACATCAAGCAGATGTTCACCTGCACATCTGCTAAGGTGGTATACTGCATCTGCTGTTCCCGTTGTGGCCTCCTCTACAATCGGGGAAACCAAGCGGAGGCTTGGGGACTGCTTTGCAGAACACCTACACTCGGTTCGCACTAAACAACTGCACCTCCCAGTCGCGAACCATTTCAACTCCCCCTCCCACTCCTTAGACGACATGTCCATCCTGGGTTTCCTGCAGTGCCACAACGATGCCACCCGAAGGTTGCAGGAACAGCAACTCACATTCCGCTTGGGAACTCTGCAGCCCAATGGTATCAATGTGGACTTCACAAGCTTCAAAATCTCTCCTCCCCCTACCGCATCCCAAAACCAGCCCAGCTCGTCCCCGCCTCCCTAACCTGTCCTTTCTTCCACCTAAAGCCCCATCCCCATCTCCTACCTACTAACCTCATCCCGCCCCCTTGACCTGTCCGTCCTCCCTGGACTGACCTATCTCCTCCCTAACTCCCCACCTACACTCACCTTTACTGGCTCCATCCCCGCCTCTTTGGCCTGTCGGTCTTCTCTCCACCTATCTTCTCCTCTATCCATCTTCTATCCGCCTCCCCCACTCCCTATTTATTTCAGAACCCCCTTCCCCTCCCCCATTTCTGAAGAAGGGTCTAGGCCCGATATGTCAGCCTTCCTGCTCCTCTGATGCTGCTTCGCCTGTTGTGTTCATCCAGCTCTACATCTTGTTATCTCAGATTCTCCAGCATCTGCAGTTCCTACTATCTCTGGAGCTGATGTAAACCAATGTGTTGGGGGTTAGGGGTTGCGTAACAGTACTACCCTAAAAAGACATTAGTGAATTAGATGTTTTTTCTTTAAAATGAAAATTGAAAATGTTCTCATGGTCACCATACTGAGACTAGCTTTCAATTCCAAAATTATTAATTGGATATAAATTGTACCAGTTGCTGTGTGGGATTTGACACCGTCTGTCCAAAGCATCAGCCATGACTAGGTGGCTGACATTACCACTATGCCACTGTAACCTTTAAAATCTTTCCTTCATAAATATTTTCACTGCATTGCCTTCTTTACTTCAGCCTAGTGGATACAAGCAGCATAATTTGGGGATCTCATGTTTACAGACGGAAGATAGATGGGACTCCGTGCAGGAGACCATTTGAACTGTCAAATTCAGGGTTAAAAACGTACGGATATGAATTTCACAGGGGAGAATGGAACTGGACAATGCATTAAAAGGGGAAATGGGTGATCTTGATGAGGGAACACACAGGTGGTTGAAAGCTCATATTAGGGTCAAATCTGACAGTGAGGTTGCAAACAGTCTGGTTCAAATCAGATAACTGCCAGGGAAGGAGATGGAGTCAGGGTTATATCATTAGTGACATAGAATACAAAAGTGAAAATTTAAACTTGAACTTATACAGATCACCATCGAAGGCACAATTAAAATACTGTGCCCAAGTTTGAGTACCTGGATATCATCTGGAGGCAATAGCAATGATATAAAAAGACTTAACAAGGATGATTGCAAGGTTGAGAGACTGCATTGAGAAGACACTGCAATTTTACAGAGCACCGAATGTCAAGTTTAACTTCTAACAGAGATTGTAGTATGATAATGGCCGACATTTCATTACCTGAATATATTCAGTAAGGCTGTTAAACACTTGTTTAGCTACTGCCATGGCCTTGGAGAAGTTCCTTTTTCCGGGTTCATCAACAACATCCTTCCCAGAGTAGTACCAATAGAAATCACTGATGGATTCCTAGGCCAATCAGGAACAACAGGATCAGAATAGAATCATAAGAATTCGAAACAGCTCAATGTCATAAATATGAATTACATTTTCTTATTTACGAACAGGAGGAAGATCTTCCTTAAAGTGAAGGAATACATTTGCACTAATTGGTTCTCTCTATCATCAATACCGAAACTAACAGCTCTTCCTTTTTTGAGTTTATTCTTTACACGGTTGTAACTATGCATGTTCACAGTGTTGTTGTTAGATATGCACATTAGATGAGATATATATGCTACATTTAGTAGACTGAGATTGAAAGGACTATTACAGTTTTATTAGACACATCAAGCATCAAATCTTTTTAAAAAAAAAATCAGTACCTGTAGACGAAGCAGGTAGTCGACAGTGCAGATTATGATGTTGATAGTTGTGGTATTACCTGTTTGAGTTCGAAGGTAATTCTGGAAATCTGAAATGAAAATGCATTTTCAGTGTTAGCATAGCTCTTCCTTAAGAGTAGCATTTATTTCAGCTTCTTAGATTTGTGATGGCACTTTGAATTTTGCTTGGGCTTTACAGCAGGGAGAGGAATATTCACCACTTTCTAGTCAAAGCATTATAAGTAGAACGTACAGAATAAAAACTACATTGCCCTGAATTGTAACAGGAACTAAAATATGATATAAAATAACAAATAAGAATTTAAAAGGATAGTTGTGCTCTTAATTCAAAAGACCCCTTATGGATGTTCTTATTCATGCATGGATAAACTGTAAATATATATATCCTTAAACGCTTGCTGCATCAGAATTAACTATATTTTTAAACATTAAGACCTAGCAACTAACTGTAAACCACATTTGATGAGTTTTGACACAGGAACACAATTACACCTGGATAGAATTACTGTTCTTGCCCTATATACTATAACAGCGTATCTTCTTTGGTAGTCCCTCAGGATTGAGGATAATTTTCTTCTGTTCTGGTATTGTTAGTCCTGAGGTCACTAAGCAGTCCAATGCTGGATCTACAAATTCTGTTGGGGCAAGTGGACTTTGCTGAGATAGATGGGTGAGTTGCTCACATTTTCGGATGCTCCTTTTGCTATTTGTAGTTAGCCTCCATCTGGGCCTGCCGGAGATGCTCAAAATGGTCGTTGGTTTGTGATGCTTCTTTGCCAAATTGGGAGGTTTTGGGCTTCAGAGTCTCACAGATTGGTGACGATATTGCAGTTATTCAGGAAGGCTTTGAGGACATCCTTGAAGTGTTTTCTCTGCTCTCCTGGATCGTAACCAGAGTCACGATACCAGGGATGTTGGCCTGAGAGAGGACACTGATACTTGAGCGCCTATCCTGCCAATGGATTTGTATGATTTTGTAGGGACATTAGTGGTGATCTTTCTCAAGGTATCTGAAGTGGCAGTATACTTTGCCCAATCTCTGATGCTTACACTGCTTCCCAGTAGAGTGAGCTTGATGTCTGGTTTGTGATCCTTGTCATTAAGCACTCTGTTCTTCTGATGGTCAAAGACTGCACTGGCACATTGGAAGTGATGCTGAAATTAAATTTCAATGTCGATGTCTGCTGTGGCTAATAGGACATTCCCAAGACATGGGAATTAATCGACAACGTCAAAGACCTCTGTGCCCTAACAAATACATAGTTTTGGTGATAGGTGTATAGAACATTTAAATGCCACACACAGAAGAAGTCTAAGATTCTATATAGTGGCATTGGAACTGTTAACGTCAAGGGTGAAATGCCATCAACTATATTCTTTTGGTCCTCAAACTCATTCAGCTTAGTCAGTTGCATACCGAACTCCACTAATCTCTTTGTTTTTACCACTGGATTGTCTAAATGTTCAGGGATGTAAAGTATTCTGTTTAAATTTACCTTTCAATGATTTCAATTCATGTCATACTGGCCTGACTTACCTTGAAGTAATAGTGTGGGTTCCTTGCACCTGTAACATTTATCAGGTTTATTCTTTCCATGTTATGTAATAACTTAGCACTCTTCTATGACTGCAGATGCAAATATTCTTATTTGCTCAATGACTTTATGCTGCTGCTCTTCATTGTTAATGAATTGATTGGATAAATTACGCAGGGTGAGGTTGTGGGTAGGTTACACAAAATAATTTGCATTTAGTCCTTTTTATTCAATGTATTTAATTTCAAGAACCTTAACATTGTGTATGCACGTTATTTATTTCACATGTATTTGCGTAACTGTTCTGACTTACTTCTTACAACAACCTCACTGTCTTTACAGACTGCTAAAGTTCTTAAATGACTCAGGCAGCAGCCTTGTTAATATATGCTAATACACCCAGAAATACACTGGAATTTTAATAGGATCTTGAGTAGGATACACGTATGTGCTCTTCCCTCACTAAAATGTCTTGGGGAAGAAAAAGCCCTAGAAATTAAACTTTAGCTTATTTAAATCAACCTCTTCAGACATGTTACAACACACTTCCAGGGCAGGTGGGACTGGAACTTAGGCCTCTTAGTCCAATGGTAGGGACTAGGTGTATGAAAACAAGTTTTAAACTTAGCTTTACTGCATTAGGAGCAGCGTGACTATTGTACAAGGCACACATTCTCAATCCTGCCAAATGCTCCCCATGTAAGCCATCCATTCTTCATTGACCTGCATATGCTTGCATTTCAGAAGCAAAGACAACTGGTCAGAGGTAAACGAAACCATCAGGCTCCTACAGAGAGCTGTGTTAGCAGCCATAGGTCTTTCAATACCCTGCACCCAGCTAAAACTCTCCCACTTATGTCAGACTTTTCTCAGTTGCCTCAACGTCATAGTAATGAAGCATTTATTTTTACTGATTTATACTTAATATTTTGTATATTAAATTATTTTCTGAAAAGGGTAATTATAATATAGAAGCACAATTATTATATACCATTGTTGTGTCCTTCACAGAGCAACTGTAGGAACCTGAAAAGATCTTGAGTAAATTCATCGTCTGACATCACCTTCTCACCTACACAGAAAGACAAGTTATTATCATGCAGCAGAAACAGAGTTCAGAACAGCTCAAAATAAATTAGCACCTCTTAAGTCAGCTAATGTTAGTGATGAAATTGTAACTGTTTCAGTCTCAAACCACAGAAATGAATGTGTGATGACATTGTTGAGGTGAAACTAAGGAATAACTAACCTTCCTACAGCACTTATGAAAATCAGAGGATGTGTATTTGTCCAACTCTCAATCTCTCTTCAGACAGTTATCTATGGACCTGAGAGGAGGGGTAATTGGAATGCAAATAACTTTAATTTTACATGTTCCTCGTGGTAAATGGGGATCCAATAGAGAGAAAACATAATTCAGAATAATGGGCATGAACTTGCCAGGGAACTGTTTGTCGACCATGACTTTAGAATAGAAGCCATGGAAAACCCAGAAAAACATGAAGCTTGTTGAGTGGGAGATACCCTGCACAAATTCACCCTCTCCACGGCACCACATATTCAGTTTAAATGATGCTATCAACAGTAGCTTCGTGAGTTAGCACACTGTATGAGATAACAGAAAATTCTGCAACATCCAATTTGGGCACTAACCTTTTGTAGAAATATTCACCTTACATACAAATGGTAGACTCTAAGGGTGACAACTGGGTGATTGGTGGAGTAGCGGTGGAAATTACAAGCATTGGGAGAAAAGGATATTCTAAATCATCAGTAGAGTTGGGGAAGGATGAAATAGGGAAGGATTTTCAAGGCTGGGGTGAGGGGATAGATGTAGGGGTTTGGGATTGGAAGGAAGGATGTTGGGCTGTGAAGTCTGGTTTTCAGAACCAGGGGTTGAAGGAGATTAGGGATGCTGAGCCAGCAGCACACAGTTGGAAAGGAAGAAGGGGTGAACTAACCTTAAGTCAGGTGCACTGGTGAATTTGTAGGTACCTTAATGTACAGTTGAGGGGAGTACTCCTGGTCATTCTGGATCCACATTCAGAGAAGAGTACGTTCACTTCTTCCTGGTTGACCAGGAGTATTCCTTTGCATTCCATGAATATGCACTGCCACTCCCGACCCTGAGTTCCCTTTGCCTCTTTTCCTTCTCCTCCTAGGAACCTCAAGCAGGCAATATGTGTCTTAACTTTTATATAATATGTAAGTGACTAACATCAGGTTTAGGCATGGCTAAAGGACACCTCTTGTCTATCTTCAACCTAATAAGGCAACTGATGTATTCATGGTCAGAAATAGACACTATGCTTCTTGCCTGCTAACTTGAGGACTCTGACTGCCATGCATCTCCTGAAAGACAGGAGTAAGCAGCCCAATTTCTAGGGATCTGTCATTGATCCCTGGTTTGTGCTGAATTTGTTGATCTCAACATAATAGATGTAGAGGCACGGCATTTTGCCTTGTTAACCTCAGGTAAGGAAGGTTGGGTGGGGGCAACACCAAAAAGATGATAAATCAGTTGACGTTTCTGCTTCTGACTGCTATTCATTTAATCCAGCAAGATTCCATTCAAGATTTTGGATGAAAGAGACATCACGCTTGTTCGTGGTGCAGACATAATAGGCCATTTGGTCTCCTTGTGCACTGTAACAATTCTGCGCTACAACCAATGCTAACGCTCACAACCTGGTCTAGGCAATTGGAGTCAGCAAACATTTGTGGAATGGACCAGATCACAGCCTCCAGAAGGGTAGGGAAGAAAACTGAGAGGACATAAACTGCAGTTTAAAATCAAATCTATGCTTTTTGGTGAGTTTTATCTCCAATTCATAACTTAACTTCCCTTGCCTAGAACTGATCAGCTTGAAACATAAATTTCAAGTGGTTAAACTAACATGGGTGAGGTCATTCTGTCTGCCTTCTGACTTTGGCACGGCTGCACCATTCCTGGCTATAGCTGAGGTGGAACTGATAATGCACACACTTCATTGGTGGGTGCACAGTTTTCCTGTTTTGCAATTTGAATAGTTTAATAATCCACAAATATCTGCCCTGTCTAACTAGATTGTGTCCATCTGAATATCTATTTCAGATATTAAGATAAAGAACCAAAGTCACACAGCAAGTATTGGTGGAGTAAGGTTCACAAATGTAAGTTCTGTGATACTTTTCGGGATGGGGGAGAAAGGTATATTAAGTCAAAATTTCAACCACAAATCTATGCACTTGTTATATGACACAACTCTTCAGATGTTAACAGTATTCAACCTCAAATACAATCAGTATGTTAGTAATTTGTTTAGAAACAAATTAGGACTAAAATGTGCATATATACATTTATAGGAGAGGTGTAGAAACATGCATGAAAATTATATCCTTATGATTTGCCTATTTAGAAATTGTGTTTTACTCTCATGGCTTTATCTTTATTGTTGTGGTTCATGACATCATGAGGCTGAGGATGCCATTTCAACCATGTTGCTATGTCATCACCTGACTGGAATCCCTGTAAGTGCACTGATTTCAAAATCCTCAATGCTTTACTCCACACTACTCCTATAACCTTTACCGACTCTTCATTCAACTCACAACATCCTCTCTCCAGACCTGAATACCCTTTCTGGCCCCATGACTGGTGGCCGCCTCAGTTGTATGCTGTAATCCATCTGGCTAGCTCTCTCCACATCCTAATGGAAATCTCAAAGGCTCTTTTGTTGACTACACCTCTAAATGCTCAACTGACACTTCTCCCAATGTGTGTCTTTGACTACCAATTCCCTTACTCTACAGAAACACTTTGCAATGTTTTATAAGATCAAAGGCACTTTATTAATCCAAGCATCACAGAAAAAATAAGACTCTAGTATCCTCTTTTCCCAGCAATTTCATTTTTCCTGTCCAATCCCTAATAGTTTCCTGTCATAAGATGAGATGAGACGTAAAGATGACCCTCTGTTGTTGATGAAACTATAAAATGAACACTGTTTAACTCTCTCTAGCTCTGCTCTTTTGTACATTAGCAACATTGGTAAATGTTAAGAAAATCAATTCAACAAGACCATGTTAAAAGGAAATCTTGGCAAAATTTTCATATGAAATAGAACTTATTCCATCTCCAGTGCAATTACAGCACAACTGCACTTGTTAACAGATTGCCCATCTATTGCCTAGTAGACTTCATTTTACAAGGTAGAACATACACTGCTCAAGCAATCTGTGAAAATTGATTAGCAACCCATTTAGACCAACAACCAAACTCATTAAACTTCCCATTTCCACCAAGGATGGAGACAACCTCTGCAACCATGCTCACGTTTTGTGACATCAGGTATTTCATACAAGGTTCATAGTTCAGTCTACTCAAGTCTTATTTTCCTTGTGACAGAATAAGCTATTCTTCAATTAATTGTACATAAAAATATTTTGTAATTTTGCTGTAAACAGAATGTAACATGCATTGGAAGTGTGCAGCATTATACCGGAGGAGCTAATTTTAAAAAGCCTATAAACAGTTCTCAATCTGAAAGGACTGGGATACAGGATATTCTTTAATTGGGGAATGATTACTACACCAGCTAAATTTGTTCTTGCCTTACCTCACTCCTTTTACTCCAACCTCTTCTAACATAACATCGCCTAAGGAAGACAGACCCAACAGACCCAGTTCCAAAACACACAAACAGTTCAATAACAACAATGCTGGTCAGACAGCAATTGTGGAGAGAAACAGTTAATGTTTCAGGTTGATGACAGATTGGTTGAAAGAACATCTTCACATGAAATGTCAAGTTAGTTTGTCACTAGACAAACTGTCTGTCACTGTCACGCTGAGTTTTTCTAGTTTTTACGTGTTTTTGTATTTCAGATTTCCAGCAACTATAGTATTCCAATTTTATGAAGAGTGCTTATTAAAGGCTTATTGGTTCCTAAATGTAGACGAGATAAATGAGATTCCCATTCAGGATGGGAATTCAGATTAGATGACACAAGTTACTGAAATTAAGTTAAAACAGATTAAGGGCTCAAAAAGTAGTGCATATTTGGAACAATGTACAGACAGGGTAGTCAATTTTTAAGAATGTACATAAAACATAGTAAATAGGAGCAGGAGTAGGCATTCGGTCTTTCAAACCTGCTCTGCAATTCTGTATGATCATGGCTGATCATCTAACTCAGTACTCTCTTCACTCTTTCTCCCCATACCTTGATCATTTTTGTCTTAAAATCTATGTCTAACTCTTAAGTCTACAAGAAATAGGAACAGAAGTAGACTGTTGAGCCCCTCAAGCCTGCTTCACCATTCAATAGGATCATGGCTGATCTGACCACTCCTCACATCGACTTTTCTGCCCTTTCTCCACAACCCTTGATTACTCTATTGAGCAAGAGTCTGTCTATCTCAGCCTTAAATACACACAAGGGGTGGTGGAGGGTTGTTTTTCGGATGGAAGCCTGTAGCCAGTGGTGTTCCATAGGGATCGGCACTGGGTCCACTTTTGTTCGTCATTTATGTAAACAATTTAAAGGAGAATATAGGAGGCATACTTAGTATGTTTGCAGATGACATCAAAATTGGTAGTAAAGTGGACTGTGAAGAGGGTTATCTAAGATTACAAAGAGATCTTGATCAATTGGATCAATGAGCTAAGGAGTGGCAGATGTAATTTAATTTGAATAATAGTGAGACATTGCATTTTGGCAAAACAAACAAGGGTAGGACTTATACAATTGACAGTATGGCCCTAGGTAGTGCTGTAGAACAGAGACATCTAAAGGTTTATAATTCTTTGAAATTTGTGTCACAGATAGATAGGGTGGTTAAGAAGGCGTTTAGCACGGTTGCCTTCATTGCTCAGACCTCTGAGTATAGGAGTTGTGATATCATGTACAGGATGTTGGTGAGGCCTCTTCTGGAGTACTGTGTGCAGTTCTGGTCGCCCTGCTATAGGAAGGATATTATTAAATTGGAAAAGGTTCAGAAGAGATTTACCAGGATGTTGCCTGGAATGGAAGGTTTGAGTTATAAGGAAAGGCTGGATGAGTTGAGACTTATTTGCACTAGAGCTTAGG